GAAAATTCTAGTAGTAAATTGGGTGAGATTATGTGCCCAGGCTACATACATTTTTATAATCGTTGCAATGTATAAAACCAAGTTCCCGCCAAAACCGGTTTGGCTCAGTGGATAGAGCGTCGGCCTGCGGACTGAAGGGTCCCAGGTTCGATTCCGGTCAAGGGCATGTACCTGGGTTGCGGGCACATCCCCAGTGGGAGATGTGCAGGAGGCAGCTGATCGATGTTTCTCTCTCATCGATGTTTCTAACTCTCTATCTCTCTCCTTTCCTCTCTGTGAAAAATCAATAAAATATATTAAAAAAAAAAAAATAAAATAAAACCAAGTTCCTGTAGAAGGAGAATGTGTAATTCACTGAAGGGGTTAAGATAAGCCTGGGAGAATAAGAGAGACATATAAGCAAATATTCTAACAGACTAAAGAGAAACTCAGAGGTAAGAGAAAAGCACATGATTTGAAGTTGAGTAACAAGACCCTGGAATTATGCTTTAATTGAACCTACCATATCATGAATGTCACTACATATTAAATTAGTCTGTTGTGAGTTTCCAACATTTATGAGCAAATGACTTACTATATGACCCCTTCCTGCCATTGTCTGGCCATTTATTCATCTTTGAAATAAACATTTGATATCTACCACTTAAAGTTCAATCATAACAATGAGACCTTGCCAAAGAAATATATATATTCTTTTACAAATTATAATATATGGAATTTAGAAACATTTGCATATATATGCAAATGTTTCTAAATTCCATATATTATAATTTAGATTGCTTTAATGATTATTGCTCTGGGAATGGGTCATGAACATTAATTTCCCTTTGTGGCTGAAACTAGACATGGGGATATTCAGTGGAGAGTAAGTACCGCCACATTGCGTAGATGAATTTGAGCTGGACTGGAGTTTCATTGGTGGTGGTGGAGGTGGTGGTGGTGGTGGTGGTGGTGTGTGTCTAAAGTTGGGGCGGGATAGAGTCTGGAGTGAACCACTATGGATATTGTCCAGTAATGTAAGAAGAAAAGTGAACTTTGCCTCCTCTGCAACAGGTATGTTCTTGAATTCTTAATCCAAACAGTCATCTGCTGTGGACTAAAGACACTCTGGATCTCTTATTCACAGCACTTACTAGATTCTCTCCATTATATAAAACTTTCAAGATATAAATTCATTGTTAGAAATATGACACTAAATAAGGATGGCAAGTTTTCCAATAATGGGCTTAATTATAGAGACTGGGTTAATACAGGCTACACTGACAATTGGATCCTCTGTTATTTGCTTCCCATTGAGCTGTAGATACTTGATTAAGAGACTTGTAGAACTTTAGAGTTAAAAAGGACATTAAACAAAACAAAAAGGTTAATGTTTCCTGCTGTTACTGTGATTGTCATGTATAATACTGTCAATCACACCTAATGTTAAATTTCTTTCTCCACCTCACATAGCAATTTCTTGTCAAAATAGCAACTAGATTGTATTTCTTGTGTTGGCAAAATGTTGACATAGATTATTGTCCATTTTCAAATTAGCATTATTTTAATCCTCATTATGTAACCTACAAACATAATTTCACTTAATCTTTACAACAGTCAGGGATAGTATTATTATCCACATTTTATAAATAAAGAAATTGAGACTCACTGGGTTTAGTAGTCCCAAAATCACACAGCCAGTAAGTAACAGGGTCTAAATTTCAGCCCAAGTGTGTCTGACAGAAAGGTTACATACTTTTCCCATTAAACATATAAATTTAGCCTAGTTGTTAAAAAGTGATCTTGAGCTACAAATACCAATAATTCCTATTGAGCATGCACTTTTGTGGGTGATTAGAATAATCAATCTAAATATTTGTTTGGAATAATCAATAAACTGTTTCCCTATCCTCTGTGAATACCTGCAAAGAAATTGCACATAATCTTACCTAATGACCAGTAAAATAACTGAGTATAATTTTGGTGACCAACTCTGCTAAGCATGAGGATACGACGATGGAAAGGTCACCCTCAACTGCCTTCCCCTGCTGGCCTGGTCGCCCCCAACTGACCTCCCCTGCAGGCCTGGTCATCTCCAATTGCCCTCCCCTGCTGGCCTGATCGCCCACAACTGCCCTCCCCTGCTGGCCAACTTGTGGCTGTGGGCACCGCCATCTTTGAGGGTTTGGAAGTTAATTAGCATATTCCCTCCTTATTGGCTGTGAGCGCCACCATCTTTGCAATGGCATGAGGGTCAATTAGCATATCCCTCTTTATTAGATAGAATGTTTACCTATACATGCATTATATATATATATATATATATATATATATATATATATATATGTATATATATACACACACACACACACACACACACATAAGGTTTTTATATATAATTATATGAATGCATATAGTTTCAGTTTACAAAAAGTGCCATAAGGAAACATAAAGCAGAGTAATATGAAAAGTAAATGTTATTTTAGATATCGTAGAATCAGAATACAAGTACAATGTTGAAGAATACCTGTATAATATTTAATCACTGGCCATTTGAAAGCTAGGCTGTTATTTCCTCTTTCTAAGTACAAGGCAGAAAATATTTTAGTTCATTAAAAGTACTTTTTGCAAAGCAGTGCATTTCCCAAGAATGTAAAGCTACAGATTTTATATTTCTAAACTTAATGTTGAGAACTTGAGTAAAAATTCTAAATCTATCTGAAAAACAATTATACCTAGGAGTTAGAAATCTCTGCTGTACCATTTTATTTCATCAGCTTACTAAGAAAACAATTTTATGAAGATACTAAGCATTACTATGCAATTAAGATTGGTTGCAAAACCAGTTTTAATCTATTTTTTCCAGACCACATTTTCCTATTAGTGATAAAGTTCAAAGACATTAAGTATAGAGTATTAAATTTTAATGCTGGAAAAAACCCAGTCTTCATAGTAAAAAGTGAGTGGCATTGGCAAAACAAAACAAAACTAAGACACATAAGGAAAAACAAACAAACTAGTGTGTAAAATTTCTCTTCTAAGTAAAAAACAAAATTGATCCCTTAAATATTTAATTTAATATTTACTTTTTATATCTTTGAATAAATTCCATTTTAGAAGATTGTTTAAAATACTATTATTTCAATTATTTTTCTTTTTGGTAATTTTTATTGTGATGAACAGAAACCAGAACAACCAGAATTTTGGAGAACGTTTAAAGACATAGAAAACTTCGATCATTTAGAAATTTGGCTTTGAGGTTCACCTGAATTTATCTTCAAGGATACAGTGTCTAACACCTTGAACACACCATCTACTGAATGAAACACCACTTTACATAAAAGTAAAAGAACATGCAATAGGTATCAAAGCAGGAAATCTCTTGTTTTGATCAGCAGCAGTGAAAATTAAGTAATCCTTTTCACATTCTCTCCCAATTCTGAAAAATGAATTCTCCGTACCAGGCCAATACAGACAAGATTAGTCCAACATTTGTGACTGGGTCAATATACATTCAAATCCTAAGCAGACAAACCCTACTCAGTTATGAGAGCTGACAGTATCCCTGCTCCAGGTGATAAGGCTTCAGGCATTGCATACACCTTGCTACCTGCAGCAGAATAAACACTGACAACTTGACAGTTTGTCGATTGGAAAGCCATTCAGTCTTTCTGAGACATGGAGATACTAGGAGTGGAAACAATTTTGTACGCACATCTAGTAACTACTGTCATTATTTGTATGGTAAAGTTTTCCCTTGATAAGTATCCTTGAAGACATTGTGTGTGTGTGTGTGTATGTGTGTGTGTCCATGTGAAAAAAACTGCCCCATTTATAAATAGAGCTGTCAATTCACAAACTAATTCAAAGTACCCTTAAAGTTACTTGAGAGCTTAAAAGTAGAAACAGACCACAGTAAATGCACATACAGGTAATAAAATTATATTTAACACTGTAAAGAAATGAGTATCATAAAATTCAGACTATTGGTTATACTATTCAGAAGGGAGGAGGTTGGGAATGTAGTATGAGCGGGTGTTTAGGATGCTTGGTATGTCCTATTTCTTGACCATAGGTAGTAGTTGTTTCCTTGAAAATAATTCATGAAACTATCCTAATATTTTTTGAAGTTTTCTATGTTTATTATGCTTTAATATAAAACAATAATTAAAACACATTAAAATAGTTTCAGCTCCTCTAGCAGAGGTTTTTATTGCTGATTAGAACAACTCCTTAATTATGTCTAAGTTTCTCTGCATCCTATACTCAACACTGAAAAAGAACAGATACTGAAAGAACCTCTTAACTTGATACAGCAACATTATACAATTAGAAATTTATAGTTATGAACCCTGTATGCACATATGATTACCTTGGGTTTTTTCCTACCTCAAATATGTAAAAATGGCAAATTCAAACTATAGCAGCCATTTCCCCAGGGACTTTTATATTTCTCCTCAAGAAAGTCATAGTTCCGGGAGTTCATGAAATATTCTTTAATGCCCTCAGTTTCTTCTTACATGTGATCTGAAGTATAGCGCCAGAACTCAGTTCCTGCAAGCCATTTGCTACTTCTGCATGCCACATATAGAAGCTGAAATACTGAAATATCAGTTTTATAGAAGGACTTCACTCTTACTAAATGAAATTCCTCTAAGCTCTTTTTATGATTTTGTGCATGTTACAAGTTAAAAACCAAGCAGCTATGCATTGTACAAATATTAAATTCATTACTCTACAAAAATTATTATAATGAATGAAAGATTATGCTAGCTCCCTAGGAAACCATCAGATTCCTGTACCCTTCTTCCTTTAAATTATTCTGAAGCATAAATAGAATTCATTGACTAATACTTCTGGTAAGTACTTAAGGTCATTTAAATGTCTAATTCTCCCCCTTTCTTCTTTTATAAATTACAGTAGAAACTGCAATGTATACTGTGAGTGTACTGTATGAAGACAATCAAACACAACCACAGTTACTGTAGGAAAAGCATATTTATCAATGTTTCTGGTCTTACTTTGCGAATGCCTCGGCCAAGCTCCTCTCCATAATTGGTTCCAAGAATTTCAAAGTGGACGTTGGGATTGCCTCCATTTTCTCCAAATTCTAGCTCTCCAGTCAACCCACTAACTCCACCCTACAGCAGAGAAAAGGTACTGACGTAAGATTTCAGAAAGAAAGTAAAATAATAATAATAATAATATAGCATAAAAGATAGTTCTAGTAAAACAATTTCCATCTATAAAATAAATATTATTTAAAGCATGCAATTTTTCATAGGCTACTTTTTAATAAGTGCCCAGCATAAATTGAAGAGCAATTGAATGTAATCTTGAGAATCACTTAATCCAAGTTTATCCACTTCACAGACAGAATATTTAGATCCAACGAGTCAAATGATTACACAAACTGACAGGATGTTACCGCTGAGACTGAATCCCAGGCTAGGTTTGCTGCCTTCATACCTTCTGACACACATGGATCCATCAGTCAGAAAACTAGATGCTTTTGGAGAGAACAGATCTGCTCTGGAGACACATTGGATAATATTCTTTCTCAGCACAATGCCATTCTAATTGGACCTTAAATGATTTCTTGGATTCTAAAAGCCAGGGTTTATAACCTATTAGAGGTTTATTTTTCCTCCTTTTTTAAATATCTTGTCTGAATGTAAAAAAGAAAGCTAAATTGGGCTTGAAATCTGTTTTTGCTCTTAACCGGTAGTGCTGGCTGTGGAGATTCATTGGGAATTTCCAAGCTTCATCTCTGATTCAACATGGCAGGTGTTCATTTTCCTAACAGATGGTAATGTAGGTCAGACTTCTCTCTTTCTTGTTTACCATTCTTTCCTCGTTTTAGTTTATCATTTAGGATTTTATAAGTAAAAATCATATTCGGAATCACTTCTAAACTACAGTACTTCTAACTTGGAATTTTAGGCTGGTAACCACATTTATCTGAACAAGTTATCTCAGTTTGTACATTGCTTTAAGTATCACCTCTATATTGTTTGATAATTAAATGTACAGACAGTCCCCAATTTATGATGTGTTTTGACTTACGTCTTACGCTTTTTTTTTTCAACTTGGCAATGGTGCAGAAGCAATTCAAATCAGGTATGAACAGTGCTTGGCATTTTGATTTTTTATTGTTAGCCTCCTGCAGTTCGATACTCTGGTGATGCCGGTCAGCAACAGTGAGTACAGCGAGGAGTCAGCAACGCAATTGCAGGGTAAGCCCCTGGTACTCTCCAGGGCACTTAGTTACCAGCGTTTTTTGGATATTGTGTCCTGAGCACATTAAGGTAAGTTAGGGTAAGCTATGACGGTTGGTAAGTTAAATGTACTAAATTCATTTTTGACTAACAGTATTTTCAGATTAGGTTTATTGGGACAAAACCTCATGTCACAGAGCACCTGTATTTCATTTGCCATAACCTCTAACTTAACTTCTGGTCTTTATTGGCAGGTATTATGCTAACTGCTATATCTCCTACTGCATATGTGTCTCTTTTTTTAAAAAAAAAATATATTTCACTGATTCCCCACAGAGAGGAAGGGAGAGAGACAGAGAGCCAGAAACATAGATGAGAGAGAAACATCGATCAGCTGCCTCCTGCACATCTCCTACTGGGAATATGCCCGCAGCCCAGGCACATGCCCCTGACTGGAATCGAACCCGGGACCCCTCAGTCCGCAGGCCGACGCTCCATCCACTGAGCCAAACCAGCTTCGGCAATATGTGTCTTATATCCGTTGCATAATGCTAAGTTCATAACAGGCATTCAATAAAACTATTGCTTACTCACTACTTTTAGTATTTAATCTATTTCATTTTTCAAGTTATAACCAACAAAACTGATCCTCCATAACTATTTCCTAATAAGCATCTTTTCTTTTACTATCCAACTTTATTAATAAAAATACGTTGAATTTGATGGTTCTGTGCTCTTCTCACGTATGATTTAGTCAACACCATGGATTTGGTCTATGCTGTCAGAATCTACTGGTTGTGTAAACCTGGCTAAGTTATTTAATTTCTCTATGTCACAATTTCAACATCTGTTAAATGGGATTATTATAAAATAATATACCAAACCCAGAAGGCCATTATGAGTTTTATATTACATGTAAAGAATATAGTAGTGTTCAATAAATTGTGGAAGTTTAATTACTATCATTATCACCAGCATTATCATCTATGTGATTTTTTCATTCTCTACTTTTGAAGGCTAATTCTGCTAAAAATTGTAAGCATGATCCTGATTTTTCAACTAACGTTTATTAGGGTAACAAAATGTCACTATATGCTTGAATATTCACATAGCTTTGGAAAATATTTTTTTTCAAAATTTGACTCAATTACATTTAACCAATTAGTGCTTGGATAGGAAAGACTTAATGCAACTGATCCAGGACCTGTTCACTCCTTTTACTGTTGGAGGGTAAGGATAGGGTGAGAAAAAAATAAGGGAGGTAAATTATCCAATTCTTTCAAGTCAGTTATATCCTGCATGTTCGCTCATACTAATATTTTAAAGAATTCAATTATCACTTAACATTTTAAAGATCAGGATAAGTGTAGTGGATCTTATGATCATTAATATCTACAAATGGTAAATACAGTGGGAGTTTGACTTACAAAAATGGTATATATTACTACATTTAAGTTCAAACAAACAAACAAACAAAAAAAAAAGTTCAAACAACTGGTATTCAGTAACATTTTATAAGAGCTTATCTTATCCTTAATCACACTTTAATAATATCCCTAAAATGTCATAACCTTAATTTTTTGTCATAGTGCTTTATTTCTAAGAAAAAGAGGAAATATATTGTATGTCAATATGATTTTTTAATTGCAAAAATGCTATACTCCTATAATTTCTCAACTTTTGAACATTAGACTGCCTGGCACTGCATTATTATTATTAGAGGCCTGGTGCATGAAATTCGTGCATGGAGTGGGGGTCTCCTCAGCCCAGCCTGCACCCTCTCCAATCCGGGACCCCTTGGGGGATTTCCAGCAGTTGGACATCTCTCTCACAATCCCAGACCACTGGCTCCTAACCACTTACCTGTCTACCTGCCTGAATGCCCCTAACTGGCCCCCTGCCAGCCTGATCACCCCTAACGGCCTCTGCCTGCTGGCCTGATCACCCCTAACTGCCCCCCCTGCTGGCCTGGTCACCCCCAACTGTCCCCCCCACTCTGCCAACCTGGTTGCCCCACACAGCCTGATGTTCGGTCATTACTATGACAGCATCCTGGACAATTTGCATATTCCTCTATTATTAGTATAGATTCCAAACCAATACTCATATGGCCATTGCAGGTCAATGTCTTAATTCTTAGCTTGTATCTAGTACTGAGCATCTTAGTCCACTTACATTATACAATGAATGAAACCATAAATCAGGGACCTGTATTTAGTTTACTGTGGCCTACTTTGTTCAACTTATGACTTTGTAATTTATCTCCTTTATGTTATATTATTTTCTAAAAACATTTAAAAATATTTTTTTATTGATTTCAGAGAAAAGGAGAGAGGGAGAGAGAGATAGAAACATCGATGATGAGAATCATTGATTAGCTGCCTCCTACACACCTCCTGCTGGGAATCAAGCCTGCAACCAGGGTATGTGCCCTTAACCAGAATTAAACCTGGGACCCCTCAATCCAAAGGCCAACACTCTATCCACTGAACCAAACCAGCTTGGGCTTTATGTTATATTCTTTTTTTTTTTTAAATATATTTTATTGATTTTTTACAGAGAGGAAGGGAGAGAGATAGAGAGTTAGAAACATCGATGAGAGAGAAACATTGATCAGCTGCCTCCTGCACATCTCCTACTGGGGATGTGCCCGCAACCCAGGTACATGCCCTTGACCGGAATTGAACCCGGGACCCCCAGTCCGCAGGCCGACGCTCTATCCACTGAGCCAAACCGGTTTCGGCTTTATGTTATATTCTTAATGAACTTTTAGCATGTTTAACCAGTAAAACCTTCTCACGAAGATAGAAGGGATGCTTGAGAGGTATTTCAAGCAAATAAACCCTTCAACTGACCCACACCTAAATTCTGATTTTTGATTGCTCAAGAATATTCCCATGCTCTTCACCTTTTTTTTTTCATTTATCCTCACATCAGCCTTGTAAACAGAACCTTGGCCAGGTGGCAATGAACAGTCATTGTATTCATGCATGCACAGTTACGGTTTTTAATCTCTTGATGATATAGCAGATTCTAAACAAAAATAAGCTAATGGGGCATTGCTAGTATGAATAGCACATAAATGATTTCTAAATGTCCTTTAAATTGAGAGTAAAATTTGCTGCCAGAGAAAACCAGTAAAATTGGTTTGGATTGCATCCTACCCTTTCCCCATTGAGCATCAAATACGGAAAGCATAAGAGAAGAAAAATTAAAAGTGTAGAATCAAGGTTGGGAATAATTTACCATTGGATAATCAGTTTCTGAAAAAGGAAATTTTTTTTCCTTAACAAATAGGATAGATACATTGGAAACAAGAAGAAAAAAATATTACTAAAAATTTATTTCACTCTGTTTATGAGGTTGAAGAATTTTCTTCTATACTTGATTCTGCAAACTAACATAGATTCTTTTGGTAGATCATATGGAACATCAAGTATTTTACACTCATCTAATTTCCTTATACATATTCCTAGGCTCCTTGCAAGCTACAGACTTGCTTGGTAACCAAGGACACCTTGTTAAATAAACATGAGCCCAGCAAGGCTGTGAGCACATTGAGAGATGCCAGACTTAGTGACATGTCCTGATACCCTCATGTTTCATAAGTTAATTTCAGATAGAGAAATACCCACAGAAGGAAAATACTACTTTTGCTACCCAGAAAAGAAATATAATGGGTAGATAAATACTAAGATACACGATGCAAGATAAAAAAAAAAATTGAAAACAAAAAATAATTTATGTGAAATGATTCGGGAAATTTTATATATATATATATATATATATATATCTCCAAATATTCATTATAATAGAGACTGGAGGCAAACTAAAAATGGGAGGTTACTAGCTTACTGATCATGCTATTTACATCTCAGGAAAGAAGAAATTGAGGCCCAGACAACTAGCTATTTGAGGAACCT